TTATATGATTACAAATGAGAGAGAGGGAAGGTAAGAAAATCCTTGAGAGAGTTTATGAAATAAAATTTAATCCACATTCTGAAAAAATGACAACCATTCTAATTTATACCACTTAGATAATTGATTCAGGAACTGAACAGCACAGACACGTTGCTGGGTTTCAGGGGCAGCTTCAAACTTAGCTTAATGCCATGTAGAGGAAGTATGAATTTTCATATCAGCAATGTGCACAAATTAAAAAGTAGGTCTAAAAAACAACCCCCTGAAAGTGAAACCTCTGAGTTCTTGTTCTTCCCACAGCTTCTATGGAGAAAAGTGAAGTCACGATGAGAAAGAGCATTTCAGTGAGAGGGAATCGTTTCCTGGCATACAAAACCCAAACTTGTTGTCCATTGGTTTTGTCGGTAGTGGTCAGGAACACAGACTGAGAGTTTGGATCCTGTGCTCAGGTACCTGGTGGCAGATCCCTGCACTTTACCGTGGGGCTATAGAAAGCTACAGGAAAACATTCAATTAAATTGAATTGCACTCTTAAGGCCAAGATAGGGAATAATTATCTGAATTAAATCCCAGCTCCAATTGCTACACATGCTCAGAATTTTGCAGTCTTTGTTCTTGCTAAAATGATGTATTTACCAATAAGATTAAATTTAAAATTGTAGTTCATATGCCAAATATCATGATGTAAACCTTGGGCAATTTACCTTATCTTTCCCCAACACTAATGCCGCTGTATGTCCAGCTGCATTTATTCTGTGCCTGTCAAATTTAACAGCAAACCTGTGGATGCCACTAAAATGCATTCACAGGAGGGATTGGCTTGGATTTTAGCGAGCTGCTTTGATTGAGTTCCATACTATGTGTTGACAACAAGCTGCTGGTTGTTTTCTACTGAATCTATGATTATGCTTCTTCTCTTCTGTGGCACTGTCTGCACAAACCAGGAAACCCCTGTGAGAAAAGTGTTTCCCTCTTTTGGAAAGCAAACATAGTAGGATATATTGCAATTGTTTTGGCGTGGGCTGCTCACATTCTTAACTACAGTGGCTGAAAAAGAGAGACTAGCCCTTTTCCCCCTTTTTGTGATCCCAAGCTGAAGTGTTAACTAAACCAGCATGATAGTCCTCTTCTGTCCTCTCCAGTTAACTGCCTGTCATTTCTTTGTTTGTCTTCTGGTGTCTTTGTTAAAATAACAGGAATATAGCATGGGGGGGGGAAAAAAAGCAAGCAATCTCAAAAGTCATCTGACCATGGAAAAATTTTCAGCTGCAAATACAGAAAGGTAGAAATAGCCTCACTGGATCAGAGCAGCAGTTAATCTAGCTCAGTGTCCAGTTTCCAAGTGTCAGTGTCTCATGCCTTCAAAATGTTTGGAAGGCAATTATAGAATAGCTTTCACACAACTTTACTCGCATAGACCCAGTAAGAATTTCTTTTAAATTACTTTGTTAGTTTTACTTCTTAAAAGGAAATTTTATTTGTAGGCAAATATGCTTATATAAATATAATTACATGCTGGGATGAAAGTTATAAGTCTGATTAGTCCTGCAAATCCACACTATGCTACTAGAAAAACAGAATTTTTAATTACAATAAATAACCTAACGTATGTTTATTTCCCCTTTGGAAAAAGATTGTATATCTATCAGACTCGGTAGAAGACTATATTGGGTTCTCAATACAGTAAAATACTGATGAACTGAACAGATATATTTATTTTAAAATCTATAATACCTCATTAAAGAGAGTGAACTGATATTTTAAATACTCAGCTGGGGTTTGGGAGAGCTTTTTTCAGTTCTTTACACTGCTGTGGACTTTCTTTTAGACCATGAACAAATCTATTAAGTTTTAGTCTCTCATTTGTAAAATTAGAAAAATAGTCTTGCTCCACAAGAGTATAGAGAAAAAACTCAATTAGAATATTCACCTTTTGCTTCAGTACTGAAAGAGCAGTTGAAGGACCATGTGGTCCCTCAGGACACCTCATGTTTCTTATGTCACCAGGTCTTCATTGCACATCATATGATTCTGTCTCCGTATTTTAGCGGAATGGAGGAGAGCTTTTCAAGAGAGAGAGTCTAGATATGTTACTATTTAAGAAGAAGGTAGATGGAAGGTCACCACCTCCACATTTCAGCTTGCCTGCTACATGTACATGTTGGGGAATCTTTTGCATTTGGTTCCCAAAAATAAAGTATAATGGAAAAGCATTCCATGTCCTGTACATACAGTTCAGATTTAAGCTACTCGTTTATTGAAAATTCTGATGATTCTCCAGGCTATTTTTAGGGTCCAATAGCACACACAAGCTTGGCTTGCAAATTAATTTTGATTTCTGTTACTCAAAGTATTCTGATTCTTGTTGGTATGTGGGATTTCTATCTATTTCTATCATTTCACTCTGCCTTTAGCACCATATCATGTAGCATATTTTATGAGAAGAAAACATTTAATGATTTCTACTGTATAATGTTCCGTGGAATTGGGAAGACAGTATATTGCATAAATAGGTCTTGTTTGAAATACAAGTCCAACATTTAATGAAATCTGTGGGAGTTGCACTGTTCTCTCAGAACAGTCATTGTCTGAGGCCCTTCTATCAAAAGCCATTTCAGTGGGGACTAAAAAGAACAGCAGACCAAAAAAAATCCCTTACGGTAATTTTAAATCTCTCCCAGATAGCTCAAAACTGTTATTCACTACTGTCAGTTATTGCAGCAGCCTGTGTAGACAGAGATACAAACAGCTCATAGTATTCTGAGCCAAATTCTTTCATGTTGTGAAGGTATTGACTTTACTGAGCCTGCCCGAGGGATGTATTTGGCTCAAAAGTAAAGTTATTTCTGCATTTAGTTAGCAAAAAATGTTTTGGTTGTAAAGGTCAGAAATCCAGTCATCGGTTCCTTAAAATGCAAGTATTGCCAGTCAGAGGCACATCTGATCTTGAGCCTTTCTTCTTGGTAGCCAAATGGGAATTACTCCTATTGACTGGGAAGAGAAATAGGTCCTCGAAGCAAAACCATGAAGTGTTATGTGCCTTTGAACTCATTTTCCCCTTTACTCTCTACCTTTTCATTTGTTTTATTCTGTGGAAGTATTTTTACTATACTTCTCTCTCTGTTTTAACCTTCACAACTCCCCTGCTATCATCACTCAACATTATCCAATATTGTACACTTGGGGAAAAAGCTTTTGTGAAATACCGACCTCAAAGTGACCTTGAGTCAAGTGACTTTTTTTGCCTTGTTCAGTGTAGCCACAACTATTGAAGCAGAAAAGTTAGGATTAATTACATTAATTGTAACAACAGAGGCTTAGCACTGCTTCAGCCTGACCTCAACTGCCTGCCTTTTGGTCTTGGCTGTAATTTCTCATGGAGCATTTGGCAGCACTGGAGATAAATAGTGCTGTATTTTGTTTCCAGGCCCTGACTGTGTTCCTTAACATTGTTGCATGATTATGGCTCTTGGTAAATTAACACTTCCCACACCTGCCCAGTCTCTAATCCATCCTCCTGCATCTTGTTTGATAGCTGGCATTGCAGTGAACTCACAGCTTGATTACCATAAGGACAGTGTTTGGTTTCTCATTGCTTCCGAGTGGTGAGCCGTCGACCTTGCTGGGGGATTTCTGTTCAAGGCAGGCTCTTCTGACCACAGGAACATCTTATTCACACAGACACATATGAAGGGCATTTCCCAACTTCTGGATTTCAAAATCTGGCTTCAATTCATTTTAGGGCTACATTTTAGTTAGAGGTTTTAAAAATCCGTAGAGAACACCTATGTCCAAGCCTTTGCTGATCTTAACTGGATTGGTTTTTATAACTTTCTTGGAACTGAACTAAGGAAAGAATATGTGACTGTACATATATGTGTTAATGTATAAGTACATAAACACAATACTGATAGTAATGTGGAAAATATTAAGAATGGCCTTACAAACATAATGTAAGTTAATGATTGGAGACCAGCAAATCCATACAAAGAAGTGCATGTATTCCTTTTTTTTTTTTTTTCAAAGGGTGCTTCAGGAAGAAGGTTCAGTTGGGTAAATGAGGACATTTGCTTTGTGGTTTGTAATTTTACATGCCACTTAAGAAAAGTGTTCTCATTTGGCATATTTCAGCTTTAAACCTGTTGCAATTTCAGCACAGTTCCTTAAATAGGAAGGGATGCGATCACCCATTGAATTGCTAAATAGTGAGACTATCTCAATTACTTAACTAACTGGATTTCAAACTTAGGTGTTTAAGGCTAATGGATTCTATTCTTTTTGAAATTACTTGTGTCTTAACTTCTTACAGATAAACAGTTGCTGGCATTTAAACAGATCAGTTATTTTTTAAGTGTGTATGTGTATTTACAGAATGACAGCCCAGTTCTGAGGCTGACTGAATCCTCACCTCAACAAAGGAATGATTTCCAGTTGAAGGAATTGTCTCTAATCCAATTTAGGTTGAGAAAACTAGTATTTGGATAGGGCAGAGAATTTTTAAGTGATGCCAGGCATAAGAAATCCTTTTTGTGTAAGTCTTTGTTAACCATTTCACTGCTGATCACTTCAAAATATTGGGTCCATGAGGACTGCCCAACTCTGATTATTTTTTGGATTTGGCATCCAAGCATGTTCTGCTAGAATATTATTGAATTATTATTTTTTAAGGAAACTTATTAAAGTCAAAATTATTCCTGAAATTGCATACACAGGTACAATGTCTCATTTGTAACTGTTAATTTTCCTTTTATTTTCTTATTGAAACAAAGTTGTTTGCAAGTGATAAGAGGCATACAGCAAACTTTTATGTCTGATGGTTTCACCTGGAAAGCTGAAGAGGTTTCTCACAGCTATATTTACGAGCAACCACTCTAGGATGCTTTTTGCAACCAAACATTTCTCCCCAACCCATATTCGTCTTCCCTGGTTGTTTTGGGTGGGGGTTTTTTGCCATTGCTGGCAATTGCATTTATTTCATACTGTATCCCCTCCTTTCACAGAGACAAGGAAAACCTTGCAGCAGCATCAGAAAACAGGTAATGTTTGCTGTGTTTGATTTACTTCCTGTTAAGAGTGTATCTTCACTTCCTCCATATTGTTCTTACCTCAAAAACATGAAATTTGTATACTGTTTGAGCAGATGATGAAAGTAGAGGCTTCAGCTAAGTGGGTTCATCAGGCATTTCTTTCTCATGCACTGTGATGTGGAACAGGTGGGGATTGTGTTTCTCAAAACTTATAAGCCTCAAAAATAAGAGGTTTTAAATCAAATATTCTTGAAATGGAGTACTGTGAGTTTGTGATGGAGTTTTAAGAACAATTTCCATTTTAAACTTTGTCTAGACTATTCAAGATGTTTTTAAAATCTAAATAAGATTATCTTTTTAAGAACATTTATATGTCAGACCTTGATTGATACTCAGTGCGTTATGAGGTTCAAAACAGTCCCTCCGTAAGTTCTTTCATGTCAAGTTGTTTTCTCCCAAAGGATCTCAGAATTTTGCAGTTAGATATAGAAATGTTGTTTTCCATTAGTTCATTTATTAAAACCCCAAGTACAGGTACTTCTTGAGTGAATCTGACTGGTTGTTTAATGGAGCAAAGACAGGCTTCTTAGTAGTTAGTCATTAAAAGAATTTTATACTACTGCTTTTCTCTTTGTTTTTGATTCCTGCCTCAGTGATATGCAACCACTTTTTATTTTGGTTTGTTTTTTTTTTTTTTTTAAGACTGCTTATATTTGAACGAAGGTTGCATAGAGTTAATATCTGAGTGCAAGCATTATTTGTTAATAATGACAGAAGCAATGGCAACTGGCACTTGAACAGTTGGGAAAATTGGTTTTTATTTTTAAATGAATAATTAAAAAATAAAGGAAATAAACCCCTTGATTCCTGAATATAAATTAAATTGTAAAGAACAAGCAACGCATGTTAGAACTTCACCAGCAGTTTCATTTGTGTAAAACCATTTATAGGACTATGCAGCTGCTTCACTGAAATCTTTTCTTTTAACTGTTATTTTATTTTGCCAGGGACATTTTCTGATATATGACTGGTGTTATTGTCCTCCTATGTTGCCTTAATTTTGTGTGATCTGTCATACCACAGCCTTTCTCCACCTCCATTACCATCACAGCTCTGCTTATTTTGATATTCATAGCAATATGATTTCCAGATTTAACACAAGGTACCTTTTTTAATTTGTCAAGCCTTTCCTGCTCTTAAGCAGTAATTAACCAACGAACTATCAAGATTACTTCATCTGCATTGTCATTATGATCTCCAGCTCCACCTGTGGCTGGAATTCTGTCTGTTCCTCAAACCCCTGCTATTACCTAGGAAATGCCTCATTTACAAACACCCTTGTGATCTCTGTTACCCAGGCCTACAGGTACCGCGCATGCGCCCCAGTATGTGACCTCGAGTATTTGGCATCCTCCTAAGTCATCCACCAGGGATGCCAACACTGCCAATGCTCAGCCAGTGGCCTCCAAGGGGTCTGTGAGGCTTGGAGCAGGTACAAGCCAGGGGGAGGCCGGTGTTGGCCAGAAAGCCCCTCTTGCTTCATCCAGTAACCAAAGGTACACTGTGCCGTGTAACTGCATAACTGACCCGGTTTGGAGCTTTGCAATGGTTTGGTAATAACAAACTCTAACTCCTTCAGATGGAAATGCCCACTGCCACAAAGGAAGACATTCCAGTTCTTCCAATTCCCAGCAGCTTCTGGTTCATGTGGGTGTTACATTTTCAGTGGCTCTCGTAGGATCACACCTACAGTACAGAGACAAGTCATTAAGCATCTTGAGCAGAGAAGCAGCAGCTGAAATTTCTGTATTTTTACTGGATTCCACAAACACTCCCATATTCAAATGTTAAATCCTTCCACATTACAGCTTTCTCCAAATACTTTCTCTGGAAAAAATACTTTTTTTTCTACAAATGATGCAATAAGAGATTTTTTTTTCATATCCATTTTAGTTTTGGTTTTCTATATTTTTGATTCTTTGCAAGTGATCTGTTGGAGGATTAGAAACACAAAAACCTTCATGCATTACATAAAGGAGACTAAGTGCTGTTTTAATCATCCACTCCATGTTACTGGGATAGAAAGTCTCAGAACTTAGGACTTCACTAAGAGAAAAAGTGTTATATTTTAAGTGTTATAGTGCATTTGTTGCTGTGTTCTCATTATGGTTGTTAACCATTATTATCTTCTTAACCTCTACTGATCTGTGTTCCTTTTCATGAGTGAAAATCAGCTGAGAAGAAATGTGTGTTTGTTTTCATCCACCTAACTTACTTTTATGTTTGTTACCGCAAATATGAAGATGTTTGATTTTTTTCAGTGTCTTTTAAAATACAAAGTACTGTAAAGATTTAAAGTCTACAAAATTACTGTATTTAAAAACCAACCAACCAACCAAAAAACACTCTGTAACATGTCATAATGAAGCTGTTGCATTAGATGATCTTTTTTATAAAGCAGCACTCAACATTTGTCAAGTCTTGAAATTCTTCTGTTCTTGAATAACTAAAATGAAAATCAGACTGAAAAACTAGAAAGGAGGAGGAAAAAAAACCAGTTTGGCTATTGTATTTGACAATATAGATAAAATTATGTAAAATTTGTAGTTGCTAAGTTAAGACCAGTCAAGTCAGTCTTGAACTCGTTCTATAAAACTGTTTTGAGAATGTTATCGACTGCATATAACTCATGTAACCAAACCACTCTGATTTTTATGGTTATATCCACTTGACTTATCTTTATTCCAATTCCTTGTTCTGATAATTAACATATGCTACCGTGAAGAAAGGTAAGCAACATTTTAATCACATAAAAAGAAATATTACAAACACTATGCAAGATAAATTTTTTTGTATTTCTTTTAAACTTGAAAAGGTATTCTAGTATATTTGGTTTTATTTTATTTATATGGGTTTGTTCTGTTCATATATGTCTCCACACAGGTGCACACATATGGATTGGGTTTTTTTACTTTCTTTTCAGTGTTTATAACTGAATATGTATTTTGATTATTTTGTATATTGTTAAAATTAAATTGCAATTAATTAAGTTCACTGTTCTCTTCAAGATATGATGTCTTGAATATTCTGAAATCTGTAGCAAATTCCTTTTCACATCAGTGCAAATAGACCAAATAAGTGAAATCCTAGTTTGTGTTTGTTTTTAATGCATACATTAAGTTCCATTTTTATGTGCAGCATAGTTTCAATCCTTTCTTCTTTGCCAAATCAAAGATATGTAAGTATGTAAGATGAAAACTGTGTCTCCACAGTTTTTAGTGGGTTAATTCTAGTACCTACTGTGGCACAGGGAAAATGTCAGTGCTGAAATTCAGTACCAGAATATCTGTGGTGGATAATACACAGCTACTCTGCTACATAGGCTGTGAAATTGATAGTCTGCTAGTTAATTGGAAGAACTTATATCATGAAATGCATCAGGATAGAAGAAATCATCTGACTCTCAAATGCATATTACTATGGAAGAACTTCTGCAAAACTGTTACAAAACTAGGTGTAAGGATTTGAAATCCAGAATTGCAAACTGGATGATTATTTTCAGGAACTTACTTATTATGTACATAATTGTAGATCAGTCTCCATAAGGGAGAAAATACCAATTTCCTGCTTTTGTTGAGGGCTGCATTCAACTTTGAGGTTTGTGGGTATAACAACCAGCTTCTCTTTGAGCTAATCAAACAAAACATTCAGTTGAGTTAAGACACCATCATGTAGACTATTGAACACTAGAAGAGGAGGTGAAGGACGGGGGAAATGGGACAGCCCCTTGGAGAACAAGGGATATCCCAAATTCAGAAGTACCAAACACTCATTCTAGGTCCTGAGGAATAGAACTTGTCAAATCAGTGCTTCTGAGAAGCAAAAGAGAATCTGAAATAATTTGCACAATGGATGGTAATTCTGCTTAGGAAAAAAGGCTGAGAGAGAGTTGGAGGGCTGAAGAAACAGCTGTGGAAATGTGGTTTTTTTGTTATTTGATACTTGCTGTGCTCAGGAAGGAGCATTTTGGGTATTTGTACCTTGAGCAAGAGAATCACCGAATTCCAGCACCTTGACAGGAGTAATTTGTAAGAACACAGAGATGTGACAACATACTTATGACATAGGTCTAAAGAAGTAGACATATATCCATTATGTCTCTAGGCCATTGCTCATGGACAAGACAACTATGTACAGTGATGCCCTGATTTAAAAAAAAAAAAACCTGCTAACTTTGCTCCATTTATCTGTCTGTAAGAGAGGAGTAAGTCTCAAATTTGATGGAGGTGATGGAACACATTAATAGTTCAACAGGTTACTTAAATGATCACAGGATACAAGACTAGATTATTATCATTCATTTCAATATATTTGATGGAATTTATATGAATTCACAAGACTGTGAAAGGCTCTTCACCGCCACTTCAGTCCTGGGTGTGCCACATTTCCTGCCACTGGCATCAGTGGGAGCAGGACTGAAGTGCTCTTTAACACCTGGGGTAAATTTCAGTCAAGCAGGATCAGCCCTGCATTGCAGTCTGAACTGCACAATGGAAAAGGCTGAACAAATGTCTTTTTTTTTCTTTGCATAATTGTGCTTTTCCCTCAGTAACCCAGCCAGCTACTATGTTTGCAGCTGCAGGTTCAAACATAGTAGGTTTTATGCTCTCCATGTAAATGCACGCCTTCTTAAGATGCTTCTTGTTTTATTTAATTTAACTCTAATTAGTACCCCTGTTGAGCATGCCCCGGTGGCTCCCAGTTCTGCTGCTCCTGCACCACATGCTTCAGCACCTCAGCCTGCTACTGCTGCTCCAAACACAGCCAGCCTGATGGCAGCACCAGCCACCACCTCAGTAGTGCAAGAGTCTTTCTCATCCTCCTTCCAAAGGTAATGCTCCATTGCTTTATACCCCTCTGGCTTTGGAAATGCTGCATACACATTCTTAGCTTAAGAATGTAGTTTGAAAAGCTGTAACCTGGTTTATATGCTTTTATATATTTGGGGGGGGGGGGGGGGGGGCTGGGTTTTTTGGGGTTTTTTTTTGATGGGGGTTTTTTTTTTTCAATTTTGTGATATGTTGTTCATGTTTGCATAGAATTTGCAAAATAAAACTGCCCTAAAAATAACTTCATTTTCAGAAAGCAAGTCTGGGCTTAAAATTAGAAATGTTTTTACACCACTTATAATAAAACCAAAACAACTCCTCATATTAGTTGCAGTGAATGAAGATTCTTTTAATAGTGTTTCTGCAGTAGGACAAGAAATGGAAAATCAGAAAATGTCATTTACTCACATGATTGAGCTTACTGTGTCACAGCAGATATCAGTAAAGCATGGTGGACACTTGATGATTGACTTGCTCTGTAAGTTAAATCAATTCATTTCTATTAGATTTATCTGATCTTTTTTTCCTAATGAGAATTAGCCTTTGAGCAGAAGTTTCAAGGAGATGCATTCCTAACACTTGTAGCAGAGTGGGAGTTACAGTTACAACTGTCAGACAGCTTGTGAGGAAATGTGTGGGATTTATACAGCTGTCACTTATATCACAGTAATTTTGGAGATAGTAAGCGTTTTTTGGTACATAATATTCTTTTATCTTTGGGGTTTGCTACATGAATATTCTGAAAAGATGTCTATTTTAGCATGCTTTTAAAATCCAAGGAAAAACATAGTTCCAGTAATATAAACCGCCTTTAATTGAGACCTCAGATGTATCATATTTTAGGAATGTATAAATGGAATTGGAAACGTTCTCTTGGCTCTATTTCTTAATTAATTTTGGTAGTTGACTTGCATTATATATATATATACCAACTAATTAGTTTCTCACTTTAGTCAGTTTTTACCTAGCCATGGCTTACCAGAATGCAGTTTTATTCCAGACAGCAAAGGAGGTTTGAATAAAGTCTTATGCTCAAATTCAGAACTGCCTGAGAGGCACTTCCACATAAAATAATGGTAAGGTTTAAGTAATTTTTATCCCTCAGTTGAAACCATAGCATGAAGAAAATGTATTACCTAGTATCTGCTCCAGACCAAAAATATGCCTCTACTAAACTAATTGTTCCAATTACTTCTGGTTTTGACAGGACAATCTTCTATCTGGGACTGTTTGCATTGTAAAATGTTTATCTTGTATTTAGACTCAAACATCTTCAGATCTTTCACATAAAAGCATGTATCATTGACAAAAGTCCTGTCCTGTAATATTGTCTGTCTTAATTATTGATAGTCTGGTTTTCAAATGTTTCCATAATGTGTGCATTTTGCCTTGTGTTCTGTAGGATTGTGCTTGGTTGTGCTAGTCTGTAAGTCTGCAGATGTGTGCTACAGAAAACCTGTTCCTGGTAACGATGCAGCAGTCTTCCTGGATCTGAATCCTGCCAGAGCTTGGTTCTGATGCCATGATTTGTGCCTCTGTTAAATCATTTTGTTCATGCTTTCATGCTTTTGTGTGTCTTCTGCAGAGTTCTTGCAGCCCCCAGCTCTCTTTCCCAGCCTAAGCCTTCCCATGGGCCCAAGAACATGTCATTAGCAGCTTCCACTATTTCATCTGCTATCTCATCTCAGTCTAGGTATATCTGTAAAGCTCTCTTTTTTTAACCTAATTTGTTTTGATTTTGTATTATGCTCTCTGACATGAGGTTTTCAGTTTCTGAAGGAATTGAATTGGGAGAGAAAAAGCACAAACAAGTGTTTAAAAGAACAGCCTTCTTATCTTCTGCATGACAACCCAGCTAGGAAACAGCTACATTGTAGATGTAGGATGTGTGACCACAAGGTCCTGTTAGAACACAGGTGTTTCACTTGGTTGGTTTGTGCTGCTTTTGCCATCCTGAAATGAAAATATTTGTCTAGAGACACTGGGTGAGAATGATGGACTTTTTTTTTTCTTGGTGAAAATGCAGGATCACAGCAATCTTTTATCACTAGAAAGAGAGAATGCTGCTGTACTGCCTCACTTCCAAGCCTTTTCAATGCTTTCATAACAAACACTGGCATGCAAAAGCTATTATTTCTCCTGAGCTACAGAAAGTAATTGATTTTAGGGATTCTTCCAGCTGAAGATTGAAATCAGTCAGAAGATGAAATTAAACGGAAGCTTTGATGACTACTCTGTCCAGACAGAGCACATCTATTCATGTTTCACCTGTCTACAGGGGTCTTAGGACCCATCTAAATCTTTCCTAAGTGCTTATTTTCATTCCTGCCTTGGAAATAATGGAATCATAGAATGGATTGCACTGGGAGGGATCTTAAAGATCATCTAGTTCCATGGGCAGGGACAAGTTACGCAGCAATTATGCATCATTTACATATAAACAGCTAATCAATTAGTATAAAGATTTATTAAAACCAGTACTTGCTGACAATACTTGCATGTTTTTCTTAGGACTGATGTAATACTATTTTTTGGTTGAGCTTTTTTTCCATTTCCCTTAAATTTTATATGCATTTAATGGGAGAAGGGAAGCAGTGTGAGGCCCAAAACCATATTAATTCATTTGTAGTTATGTACCAACATGGACTAATCAGTGCAAAACAAAATTCTGAAGAGGATAAAAAAATGACATTGAGATATTGAGGCATTTCAATTGAAAGTAAATTAGTGAAATAGACTGACATGGACCACTGCTGCTTTTCCTGCCCCTTTGAAAGGAAGTGACTTGCCTGGAGAGGCTGTGTCTCCACTCTTGAATGTTTTCAAGACATCACTGGCTAAAACATGGAGCAATCTGGTCTGACCTCAGAGCTGGCCTTGATTTCAGCAGGTTAGATCAGATTCTTCCTGAGGCCTATCCAACCTCAAAGAGTCTGTGAATCTATGAAAAACATCTGTCCATTTCAAAAAGAAATGCTCTAATCAGACTCCTAAGGCCTCTTGCTGGCACTTGGCCACATAGAAAAGATCTACAGCATATCAACTTTATACACTGCTGCTTTGTCAGTGGATGACACAAGTGTGATGCTGTCATCTGCTTCCCTGTTACCAGCAGGCAAATGTTACTGTCTTGGCTTCAGCAAGTCTTGGCACATAAGGGCAAATCAGAGACTTGTAGGACCTGTAAAAATTTGGTTCTCTGATAATCAAGTACAAGAAGTGAACTCTGCTTGGTTGGTTGGTTTTGGATGGCTGTCTTGCAGCTGGAATAGGTTCTTTATCTTGATGCACTTCTTCCATGTTGTTTTAAAAAGTGTTGTGTGTTATAGTTAGTGTATTCAAATGTAAGGGACTAAAACTGGCTTCTAAATTGATTTATAATTCAAATTTTTGAGCATCTGGAAGTTTTCATTTAGAAATCAAGCAATGCTTTAACATGCCGAAATACAGGCTTAAAAATCCAGTTTTAGCTTGACATATACCAGAGGAGTATTGAGCATTTAATATAATTTTATTTTAAAAAAGAATATGGATGACCTTAATTACACCACTGTTTTACGGGATGGGGATATCCTCGGGTAGATGAGGCTGAGATTTTATCAACATTATTCCAGTTTTTGGTGATTTTTTGCCGTTTAGATGCTTTAAAAACATCCCCCAAGAAAAGGCAGGAGAATTTCTTGATCACTATCCTTAACTATTTAAATCTGATTTTAAACTTTAGTAGATCCTATGTTCTATAGTGAGCATAGTTAGCTTTTGTGAGCATATGCATAACACTTAACATGAGTAAAATCTTTATAATGTTCCTGAAGAGGAGTGTTTGAAGTAAATCACTAATCCTTAACAGACTGTTACTCTTTTACATCTGCAGTGAAATCTGACTTATTGTTATCTGTTCCACTTACAATCTTACTTAAAAGAAGCAAGCACAGCAGGAGAGTTTTGAATAAGCTTGAAGCTCTTCAGGGATGGGTTATTCCATCCAGAGGGTTAAAGCAGGGTGCCCCATGCAACAGCACTCTGGGAATGCAAAACCAGGAGAAACAATGGGAAGAGTTTACAATTATGGTTCTAAAAGTCAAGTGTAGCTTCTGATCCGGAGATTTTAATCCAAGCACTGTGTCCATGGTAAAGGGGAAAAAACTCTTCTCCAGAAGTTAGGAAAATAACTGGGAGGCAGACTCTTGGTGGCTCTGGGAAATGTGGGCTGTGCCCCTGTGGGATGGGATTGATGCTCTGTAGCCCTGCACTGCCCTGCAGACAGGAGCTCTGTTCATTCTGAATCCTCTTGTTTCTCAGATCATACATTGTGCAGGCTTTCAAGTACTTCCTGTATTTGCATAAATGACTCATTTATGTTCTGAAATTACACTGTTTCCCCAAGGGAAAAAAAAAAAAAACTCTACCTGTTTACCTAAGACTGTACCAATAGAAAGGTTCTGCAAGGCAAAAGCTGAACATGGTGGGCTGATGTTTCTGCTTCAACTACGCCAGCCTGTCCTTTCCATGGGGTTGTCTGAGCTGCCTCACAGGCTGGGGAACTTCCCTGATCTTTGGCCTTTGGTTTATTCAAGGTTTGCTTTTCAGATTTGATGCAATGTAAACTTATGATACTGAAAAAAATCCCTTGTATTTATTTTTTTCTGCTAATAAAAATAATTGGAGTTCCACAATCAAATAACAGGATCAGATGAGACTTCTGGAGCTCTCAGCTCATTGACTTATGTTACCACTTCAGGTTTCACTGTGATTCCCAGCTTAAATAGGAAAACAAAATGTAATGTAATACTCATATGCTTATAAATATGTACATGTTATTTGCTTTAGTTTAAGAGCCCTTCTTGCTCATAGGAAATTCATGCTAGGGCAAGATATCCCAATCTTTTCTGTATATTTTTTCAAATACCACTTTTGTCTCATTTTAGTTTCAACCGGCATTCTTCCACCTCCATCAGCTACCAGTCAAAGCAGAGGTATAAAACTGTTTTGTGCAGCTATTCTACCTTAAAAGCACTTAACAAACCAGTTTATTGCTACTAGTAGGCATCTACTGAAGCGTTAACATAAAAATTATCTGCTTAGAAATATTTACTCTTTCTTTTCCTGACAACTAATAGTTTTCAGAGCCGGTATTTAATTTGCTGCCTGTCACATGCCATTGACTGCTACAGATAAATTCAATGGGGTTGCTTTCACTGCTTTTTGAGATGCCAGTGCTTCTTGATCCATTAAAGCATCTTTGGTCCTTACAACATCTTTTTATTCTTTCTTAATTTCCTTCTTTCTTCTTTCTTCTTTCTTTTTTTTTTTTTTGTTCTTTTAATCACATGCCATTTCCATTTCTTCAGCGGAAATGCTGATAAATCTTTTATTTCACTAAACCTTTAATGATGTAGTATAACACTTTATTTCTCTTTGATAAGCTTTCTGATCTTTCTTACTGTATTTATTATGCATCATATACATATAAATGGGCTAAAAGGATTCAGTACTACTTTTAATTTTGCTTTGATTTTGATACTGTGAATGGGGGGTGGGGGGTGTTGTTTTGGGGTTTTTTCAGCTTCATTTCCCTGAACGCAAGGAAATCTGTGGTATGGTTTTACTATGTTATTATATTTGGGAAACACTTGAATTTTGAATAACCATTTTTCTTCATGACAGTCTAAATATTACTAATCTGATTCAGAACTTCTTTATTTATTTTGTGCGTTAAGAGAAATCCAAATGAGTCTTTCTTACCATTGGATCTGTGCATCTGGGAGTAGACTTTCCTGACTGGATGACATTTTCAGATTCAGGCTGTGCAACACATCATTTTAAAATCTTCTAACTCACATTGTAAATATTGGGCACTGAGCTGTGTAGTTTACCCTGAGTATCAGATTTTAAAACAAAGACAAGTGTTCAGATGGTGTGTTTAGCTGATGGCATTTTGAAAGCTGTGGGTGAAGCCAGAGTGCCCAGAGCGTCCCTGTCCCTGTGCTACAGCAGGAGCAATGGCCTCTGTCCAGTGATCCCAAGCACAGTGCCTTCTTAGGCACCTCACAGGAGGTATCATCAGGAAACAGGTCAGGTAAGAACAGCACCCAGAAAGTTTGACAGTGCTTAGAACAGCTTTGGCAGTTACAAAAGCACAGCAGGGTTCACAACAGAATTTACAGTGAATACAAACCCACTAAAATAGTTTATCTTGGAGATAAACTATTGTTCACTCATGGTACACTCATGGTACAGTGGAATATAAGTGAGGCCTAAGCCCTAGACTAGGTACAGAAATAATTAGCTATAGCCATTGTAGCAATAGCTAAGTTTCTAGGTCTTGCTACATACACAAAATAAATTAGCCTGAGGCAGCAGTGATGCTATGCAAACTAAATCTATAGAAACACTGTCAGAACAGCAAAAAGCTACATTGAGGACAGGTTTATTTTGTTCAAAATTAAAAATTGAAAGTTTCCATTCCTCAGAATGTTTCTTACCTGTACTGGAAAAAATCTGCTGGGTTTGCCATGTAAGATTATAATGTGTTTTCTCCAGATGGCATCTGTTTCCACTGTTAAAGAAAGTAAAGTCAAGATGGACCAGTAGTCTGGGAAAGATGGATGCTTCTTTTCATATGCTGACAAACGTTTTCCTCTAGGCAAACCCACTTTGGAAATAACTTATTAGCTGTCAGCACAAATAGATAGGGATCTAATTCCTAGGGGGAGTGACACTGAAGGGAAAAAACAAGTAAAGCTGTTTTCAGGGTGAGTAAGAAGGATGTTCTGTAGTGAATAGGTTTTTGTTCCTGCACACATCTCGTTGTCTGTTGCTTCCCTTCTCTGTACTTCTTTATTCTCTCTTGCTTGCTTTGACTGTGATGCTCTTTTAGCAGTCTGTGAAACACAGGCACTACAAACAGAATCACCCCAAGTAACTGCAGATAGAAGAGGCATATTATGTAATCTGTTACTGTAATCAAACTGAGAATCACCATCCAATCCATAAGATAGGGAAAAACTGTTTCTTACTGATTTTTGGAATCCTGAGGAAATGTTTTTATTCTAGGACTGGAAGAAAGTGCATCATAATATTGCATATTGTATGTTTTTTTTCTGAAGGATAAATCTGAACAATAGGAAAATTAATGTAAATTTTTCAGTCTAAATAGGGAGAAGAGTTAGTTACTCTTAGAATTACTCTTAGAGTGACTTTTAGAGTAGTCACTTCAATATTTTTGAAAATAGTATAACAGTATAAATATATAATATAAATATAAATATGATATAGATATACATCTATAATTATAAATATTACTACTATAATTATAAATATAAATACTATAATATAAATATATAATATAAATATAAGTGTAATATAAATAGAAACCCTAATTAGCATTTGTATTAGTAATAATTGTGCTGAGCAAGTGTATTTTTAAGTCCAGATATGACTCATTGATTTATCTTAGAGAAGACCAGGCCTTTTTGTTTGCAGAGGAAAAGAAAACACAAACTTTATATGTAGCTTTGTAAAGTCTGAACTCTTGTTACTGAGAGTTTCAAATTTATCATATTCCCTCAGCAAGCTATTTTCTATGATGACAACACCAAACTTGCCATTATTTAAAATCCTTATTTGACTAATTTTTCTTTCCAAAGAATTGTCCGAGGCTTCCTTAGCAATGACAAAGACTGATGAATCTCCCAGCATTCTCTCTGTACTTCTCACAGACAGTTCCTCTTGGAGTTCTCTGGATGTTGCCAGATCTCTGACTTCATGATCAGTAACTTTTGCTGTTTATCAAGTTGTTCACACCTACATTTTGCTTTTAGAAACACAGTCCAGTCATATACACCAATGCCAGTTTCTGGAGGCTACAGTGAAAGTCCTGCTCCTTCTGCTGCTTCAAAAATGAGAGTTGTTACTACTGCCAGCATAAAGCCCTCTGTCTACCAGCCAGGTAAGGAGCCTTCAAAGTACTCAAAAGATTCAGAAAAAAAATGCTCACACATTTCTTTTGGGAAAAGAAAATGTAGAAAGCACACATTCTGTACACAGATGTACCAGACAGTATTTATACATGTGGATCTAAATGTTGCTAGTTTTGCCTCAGATTATCTGAAGATTGAGGATTATGTTGTATTTGTATTCTACTTCAGAGTTAAAATGGGAAACAAACAGAGGGTAAAATAAAACAAGGGAAAAGTCTAATAAGAAATGTGTAGCCTGATTTTTCAGAAGAAATACATTTGAAAAATAACAGTTTATCTAATTAGGAGCCCAGTGACACTACAGAATTGAGGAAATGGCTATAGAAAAGATTGCACAGTTCAGGAAGGAGGTAAAATAAGTGGAGTTTGCTTGAGTAGGATATATTTGCAAAATAGGTAAAACCATATATTGAATTTCTCAAACTTAGGCATATATTTGAAATAAAGAATGAGGTATTTAAGCACCTCATAATGCTATTCCATTTCCCAGAGACAGTAACTTAAGGAATATATTTGGTTATTCATTCATTTGGAAAATATGCTCCTTGATATTATTTAAATTCCCTTGGTATTAATGTGTTACAAATGGACTGAGCTTCTAAAACCATTGAAGACCAAAATGTGAACCTTCAAACTGAATGAATTGAGACAGCAATATAAGTCTAAAGGCAGTTCTGTTTCAAATTAAGGTTTTTCTCATCTTAGCAAGAGAATTAATATGTTGATTTATATCTTTACAGTCAAATAAACATGAGCAGGCCAACAATTCTAACCATGTCTTCTGTAATGTTCTATTTCTGGATTTACTAAAATTAAAGAAATGTAGGAATTTTAGTTGGACATAAAGCAGACAGACAAATCAATTGACATTTATATTTGAGACATAAAGGTAGAAAAAGTCAAGTCAGAGCTCTCATGTGCTATTTAAGGGTCTCAAAGTAAATAAACCTTCAGCTCCTCCTCACTTGCTTTTTGTTAAGTGTGCCAGTGTATACCATGTTCTCACTCAAGGCAAATGCTATTATTTTTTACTTGAAAAGATGACAACAGCAGATTTATTTCTATAATGAAGAAGAGAGCAAACTCTGGCAAGTCAAAATATCTCCTAAATACACTGACTGATGTAAGCCCTGTGCTCATTTGGGGAAGTATAAACTCCAGTTCGATATACAAACCTGCCACAGAAATTCATCTGCAGCTATTTCCAATTATTGGCTGGATCTGGTAAAGTCAAAGCTGGCTGTTGAATTCTGCTTGGAGTAAGAGGAAAGGCTTTTGTTTTCTCCTGGGTTGGGCATCTTCTTTGCACTTCCTGACATTGCTGGTGTTCCTTTGCAATTCCTTATGTTGCTACTTTTGAGCTTCATTGCCTCTCAATAAAGGCTTAAATAGTTGGCAGAGATAGAAAAGGTCCTCCTGTACTGTTTAGGAGTTTGAAATGTCCAATAAGGGGTTCTAAAATGCCTTCATAATTGAACCCTGAAGTGACTCAGGTACAATAGAGGCTCCAGGCAGAGATTTCAGGGAAGACGTTTGGTTCTTGTTGTGGTACTTTATAAAGTGTTATATATTTGATGTAGTAGCACTTCACAGTGGTTTTGGAGCATGAGCTATCCTCAGAGACAGTTGCAGAGCAAATGGGAAATTGCCACTTGGGAAGAAATGGAGGAAATAGCATTCCCTGTCACAGAGGGGAAAATCAGTAGTACTTAGAAACAAACCACCAAGACAGTTAGAAAATGTCCTTATCCAGTCATTGTCAATGACTGGCTTCCCTTGGAAATGTGGGGCAGCAGCTTCCAGATTAAAACACCCATCAACAGGCTCATATATTCACTATAGAGACTCCTGAATCAGTCACTGAGAGGACTTAGAAGGCTATTTTAATGTCAGATTGAAAATAAAACCCAAACAAACTGAAACAAATCTCAAAATGAAACTGCATTCTTGAGTATCTGGCTCAGATGGGATTTATCAGGCAGTCTACACTTTCCTTAACCTAATCCAGGTGGGAAATTTTCTGCTGCTAAAGATCTTTCATTTTTTCCAGTAGAGAAGGCTGGGAGCTCTGAAATCTTTTCTCTAAATTTCGTAACTCATGTTTTAAAGGCTTCTCTTCTGAGCAAAGCCCACTAGATGGCAGAACATACCTGGGTATTCCTTTCCCGCAGGCATTCCCAGACCTTTCACGTATCCCAAACAACTCCAGCTGCACTTCTGTACCACAAAGTAACACAATACCTAAATGTGAGAAAGCAGATCTTTCCTTTTAAATCCCTACGTCCAACTGGGCCTTCTTGTGTATGCAAAATTGGTCAAGTGTAAAGGCCTGATCTGCTCTTTGACGAATTGGTAGAGAGATTTCCGCAGTTCTTAATGAACTTTGTATTGAATCCTAAGCACCTTCAATACTAAAACAGCAGCTTCCACACCATTATTTCATTTTTAGTTCCCATAAATAAGAATAGTGTCTCCCTATAAATCCTCATCTGCTCAGTCTATCATCTGCTCTGTACTGCAACAGAATATGGGAAAACTTTTGGGATTCAAGGATGTGGCCACTAAGTGTAGAACAAGCCATATCAGTTGTGGTTATTAATTTATTTTGTTACTGATAATAATAAAGAGTAACACTTATGTCATGTACTAACAAAGGGAAAAAAAAAAGAAAAAATGTTCTCACAGTGCAAGTCTGTGTGACCAAAGCATTTGAGACTCTATAAATCTTTGCTTTACTGCATGAGTCTTGGTAATGTGCCTTTTTGTCTGGAGAGAAAATAGCCATAGGCCATAAATGAAGAGCTGAGGGGGAGAATTCCATCTTCCCCAGAAGCAAGGAATTGGCTTGCTCCTACTCCTGTTAAGAGAGACCTCCTCTCCTGCCATTCTCTCAGGACAACAGTAATGCCATTCATTCTTTCCTATTCTAAGAGAACCTGAGGGCTGAGAGAAACAAGGTGATAGAGGCTAAGTTGCTGAATTATTTGAAGTATTCATTTTTTAACAGTTAATGGTCAACTCATGCAATACTGGTATTTTGAGAATATATTCTCTGATATACTGAATCTTAGTACTTTTTTAGCAGCAAACAACCCCTTTTTTCTCCTGATTGGTGTTGGAAGACTTTTTGAAATACATAAACATTCAAGGTGAATGTGTATGGCAGTAGCTACTAAGAGAAAAGAATTGTTCATATAAGCTTAGGGATGTAGTTCTAAGAAAATAAGACAATTCCCTTTTAATAACAATTGCTAAAATCTCAAAGTTAGTGAAATCTTTCTAATATGTTGCAGTGATACTATTTTGAAGCAATAGTAATTGCAGCTTGTTCACAGGAGGAAAATATATTGTAATAAATCAGGCCTGTAAAATTAAATTATAACAGCTGGAAAGAGAACTCAGAGCAGATGCAAACACCCAGCATTTGTCATTTTGCAGTAATTCCTCTGGTACTTCCTTTTAGTAGCTGGGGAAAAAATCCCATTTTGTTGTTTTATTTTACTTTCCTTTTTTCTGTTTCTTTGTTTTACTGCAGCAAATAGAACAGAAAGAGTGAAAAGAAATAGAAAGTAGAGAGAATGTAGTGATGTGAGCTGAAATCACCTTGTTTAATTAGCCTCATAGGTGGGAGCCTTATGAACTCATCAATTAGAGATTACATATTAACTTCTAATTTTGCCTATCTTAGTACCATATTACATAAATAATTACATAAATAGCAAGAGCCTCGGGATCTAAAGAGATTGCATATAAACTCTGCTCTGAAATCTTTAAATACTGTTTACCATTTCCAAGTAAAAAAAAAAAAAAAAAAAGAAGAAGAAGAAGAAGCCTCAAGCTAAGGTGGGATACAATTTTATGAAGCAAAAACATTGCTGATGCTGTACCATAAGAAATTTTTATCAAGAAAATGCACTGGATTCAACTCTGACCTCAATAAAAAGATCCCAAGGGTGATCACAGTGCATTGATATATATGCAATTTAAGCACTTGCAAATTGCCAATAATCAGTGTAAGTTATTATGTGGCAGGGTATGGGCTGAAGAAGGGGTGTTAAGTCAAACATAAACTTCTCACCACTTAATTATTCAGAAAGATCCATGTTACTTTCAGGTATTTCACCCTCTTAGCTGAAATACCTTTCTACCTGCAAGTCCCTTAAACCTGCACATGTTGTATTTGATTGTAATTTTCTTGGTGCTGGGATCTGCTGTGTGCAATGTTTGCCCAGAATGCTGGAGAACTGGCTTCTGTTCCCAAGCCTGTGCTTTCTCATTTGGGCAAAACACTTCAGCTCTCCAAGCTTCTTTTCAATCATTTGCTTTGTTTTCCTTGCAAAGAGAAACTGCTTTTAGTGCTCCTGTACTTGGCAAAGTGAGGCTGTTTCTTGGGCAGTAATTTCAGTCCTACATAATGCAAGATCTGACATTTTGAAAGGAGCAGGATAATGGGAAAACTTGTCAGTATGTGCAGGCCCTGGCTCCTGCTTATTTTAATGTGATAAAGCTCCACCCAAGATTAGAGCCTGGTGCACACAAACACAGAGACAGATTGCTCTGAAGGTTTTAGCTAGTCAAAGGCTGGCAGAGAGAAAGGATAATATTCTGTTTTACACACAGGAACTGAGGCGCAGACACACTTTGCTTTGCTCAAAGTTATACAGGAAGTTTGTGGCAGAGCCAAGAACTGAACTGAGATCAGTCATAACCACAAGTCTGGCCTTCCTCTAAGTGCTGTTGGCTTTATCTTGCTGGTCATGTGAGCTGAACTGGCTCCCTGTGTTGCTTCCAGTGCTCTCTATTTCTGTGTTCCCTGTGGGAGCCTGTTTTTCTTCAAAAACTTAGGAATAAACCTACAAATTATAGATAATAGTGACATCTGCAGAACATGTTGTATTTTACTTAATATAATGAGATGAAAAGTTAAGCATAACTTACTGAAATTCTGGGGAATTCTATCTAAAACTTTACTGTATTATCTGTTTTTTATATTTTTAACCTGTCTTAAACAGAGTATATGGCAGTCTTTGACATTATCAGAATTGTCATATCCATTCCTTCAAAAAAATGAAGAGATGATCTTGACAATGGTCTCCATAAAATCTGTAAAAGCCAGGAGGCAATGATATGAGAAGTCAGTGATTGTGCTGATACCTTTGGCTTCAGCCCAGAATAAGTGAGCAACAATGGGACATAATTAACTATCACCTACAGCTTTTATTGTATGTGTGTCGTGGGGTACCCTTTGGTAAGTGTTGCTGTGTTGACAGTAGAAGAAAAAGACTTTAAAATCTTTCTTGGTTTCTTTTGGAATACTTAAAACAGCGCCAGCACCAGTTCATTCCTACACCCCTGCCAACACGGAGCCTGCGAGTCGCCCTCCCTGGGTAACAGATGACTCCTTTTCCCAGAAATTTGCACCTGGAAAATCCACCACCACTGTCACAAAGCACATCCTACCAAGGGGTGCTCCAGTGCTATCCCCTGCCACAATTCCTGCTTACCCGTCTCCAGTTTCAACTCCTTCCCAGCCCCCTGCGTTAGCCCGGGGAACAGTTCAGAGGGCGGAGCGTTTTCCAGCCAGCAGCCGAACTCCTCTCTGCGGGCACTGTAACAGCATCATTCGGTAAGGTCATGGGCCTTTGAAGAGGGATGAAGCAGAAAAAAAAGTATCAGAGAGACTGCTTATTGTGCATTAATATACAGTTCCAGAGCCTAAGACTCTGTTAAATTACCCAGCAGGGATGTCTGCTGTCTGCTTCATTAATTTAACATTTCCAGAGCTCATTTTGTTGTTGTGTGGTTCACTTTTTATCACTGCAAAGTTATACATGCTAATTGTTTGGATCTTGGATGCTGCAGCAAATCTCTGTTTGATTTTAAACAGGTTTCTGGTCCTAAGGTAACCCTTTGAAGGAGGTTCGTGCAACTTCATTGGGAGAGTTAGGGGGCTGGGAGCAGAGGGGGGGATTGTGGAGAGAAAAGGAACAAGGCATCATTTTGGAACAGCAGCCAAATGTAATTGTTGCTTTTGTGTCTGGAGAAAGATAATGCCTACACTCTATTAGCAGTGATTCATAGCATGCCTCTCCCTTCTCTCCCAATTCATTCTGCTGGACCAGTGCCTACTGTTAGCCTGTGCACTGCTATCCAACTTAAGTAATCCATGTTTAATGACAGTCTTCCCCACTGAAAGGAGCTAGTTTGGTGATGTGGAACTGCTGATTATTGCCCTTCATATATTCTGGAATGGAAATATTCCAGTAATAATCATTGTATCTAGCTACAATCACCAGAGTCAATCACCAAAATGAATTTAACGTGTCTTCCACATAACAAAACAGCAAGTTGTCACCTGATAGTCTGACATTTCTAGAACATGCTGCACGCAGTGCTGTCAGACAGAAGGAAGGTAGGAGACTTTAGGAGCTCTTGTGAGGTGTGGGTGTGCAAAGATGGAAATTTGCCTGTTATTTCATGCTTTCAAATAGTAGCATTATCTTCTGTTGCCTTTGGCCTTTTCCTCTTGTCTTTTAATCTGCTTACAAAGACCACTTATAGCTATGCAGATATGAAAACAATTGATTTTTCCAACAGTTATCTGTAAATGCAGTGTATGACACCAAACAATAATGAAATGTTTTAACCAGTGTGTTTTGAGTAATGGTCTTGAAAAAGACCACTTCTATTCAGGTTTCTGAATGTTATTTTAGTATGCACCTCATGGTTCAAGTAGCTTCTTACACGTGTACATGGTGTCTGACAAAGTGGGTTTGCAATCAGGGTCATTCAACCCTTTTTACACAATACAAATAAGATTAAACAAGATTACAAATAAATTATGATTGCTTCCAGAGGGCCTTTCCTGGTAGCCATGGGTCGCTCTTGGCACCCAGAAGAATTCAATTGTGCTTACTGCAAGACATCCTTGGCTGATATGTGCTTTGTGGAGGAGCAGAACAGTGTGTACTGTGAGCGCTGCTATGAACAGTTCTTCGCACCGACCTGTGCCAGGTGCCACACTAAGATTATGGGGGTAAGAGACAACATTAACCCTTCCTGCAACTGCATGGATCCCTGAAATAGTGAGTTCAGACTGTAAGCAGTGAATGTAGAAGTTTTATTATTTCATCCTTTTAAGACTTATTTCCCAGTTTATGGATTCTTTCAGAATGAGAAACATTTTATAATAATTTTTATCCATCTGAAGTCTTGGAATTTCTGTACCTTATTGAGCTCACAGACGGAATATGTAATCCGGGTACCCTCTCACTGAGTGTAAATTAAGTAACACTTTCTGGATAGTTTTTTGCTATCTGATAAACACTATGTTACTTTTATCTCTCATTTATAAGAGACTTGAACAGGGTTTTTATTTATAACACAGGATTTAGTCAAAATTTCAGTAGAGAAATCAGTGATGTTGGGAAGAGGCCCACTGCTCTTGTTGCACCTCACTGTTAGTTAGCAGCACAGCTGTTGACAAGTTCTGCTGGTTTCTTATAGTTAATAAAATACTGAATAAATACAAAGATCTGAATTCCACAAAGCCAAAAATAATATTCATAAAGCAAAAGACAAAATTCCACTTTTGTCTTAAAGGACTAATGTACAAGTAAATGTACAATTTAATTTGTTCTCCACATACCTTAGATGGTGGTGAGGTTGGAATACCATCAATAATTTTAGCAGTGTATTTATGCATGCAGTTGTAGTGAATGTATGACTCAGATGAAGAAGCAAGGAGTCCCCCACTGGTTTTTCACTGCTTAGCTGTCACCTTTTGACATCTGTCTAAATGTTGGCATTACAGATGCTCTTCTCTGCAACTGCCAATTAGGGATGGCAGCATCAGACATGGATGGTGAAGCTCTGGCTCCAGCCAAGTCTTGTTTGCTACTGTGGCAGAAGGATTAATTTATAGCAGAGTGCTGACTTAACCTACCTAATGATTGCTGGCACAAATCAGTTTCCCATTATGGATTTTCATCAGGAAAATAGCAAAGATGCCAGCTGCCTCTATTTATATTAATAAGATTTCTCAAGCTATTTTTGCTTCTTACCTCACTGAGGTTCATAAATGGATCCAAACCTATTTATCAGCAATAGTTGTTTTGCAAACAGTAACAGAAGTTAATGAATCTCAAATGGTGATTCTCTAATGAGATATATGGCAAATCTAAATTAGACTATTTTGTCTATTCACTGGATTGAAAGCGTGGAAGAGGACTTCAATCCATTTTCTCATAATCAGTGGACATTAAAAGCGATCTTTAAAAGAGAATCAGAGTCTATGTGTATAATTGGAAGCAACATAAAATAGGATCTAGATTCTCAGCTGGTATAAATCAATGCTGTTTCACTGAAGTTAACAAAGTTAATTTACAGCAGTTATGCAGCTGGCCCTTTGAAATCTAGGCTGTTGGAGAGAGATACACTGTCAAACATCATCCTGGCTACATGTAAGATTGACAAGTTAGCAGGTAACTGTGCAACAGAGCCCAGTACTGCAGCTTTTGGACTTGGAAGACTTCTGTATGACAAAAGACTGAAGCAATAATAGAGATTTCTCCATACTGGACAGAAGTAAGAAGCTGATAAAATCTAGATGTACTCAGTTGAGGAGAACATCAGTTGTACACACACAGAGAATTGGGGATTTTTGTGATAAACACATGGCTTAGGAACAGACATGCAGACTCGTTTTTACTAATCATATACATTAAAAGAACCTTTCCTTTTTTGTTGTTTTTTTAGATTTTTATATTAGTTTGTGAATTGTTCTTATAAGAACAATTACAAAAAAAATGTTTTTTTCTTATAAAGAAATTATTATTTCTTATAAAGAAATAACTACAGAATCTAGATTATTTTGAAACAACAGACTTACACCGCTTACTCCTCATTTTTTAAATTTATTTAACAAATCATACTCTTGCATTGAAGAGTTCGTACTGGTCGTATCAAAACAGAGGAGAAAATAATCAGAATCTTTGTGCAGAATCCCTCCTGCAACAGCGACTGGGCATATTGATATAAACTGCTGGCTGAACCATGTTGCTTCACTTTGGCAAATACATTGTTCTAGAAGGCTTGCAGTCCTGTTTCCTCTTTCTTTCCAAAAGGAGCCCAATTTCTGTCATAATTCTTTCTTTTGAGGAGGGGAACTGGCTGATCCAGAAGGGGAGAATTTACAGCATCTCTGCCTTATGTTTGTTCTCCAGGAGGAAGTTGCAGGGCTGGCTATTCTGCTGGAGATTTTTGGTTGTTTGTTTGTTTGTTTTACAGGAAGTGATGCATGCCCTAAGACAGACTTGGCACACGAGTTGCTTTGTCTGTGCTGCTTGTAAGAAGCCATTTGGGAATAGCCTGTTCCACATGGAGGACGGGGAGCCTTACTGTGAGAAAGGTATGGTAGTCTGGACAGTTCTGCACAGTAATTATGTGCTTCATGTTCATGGAAGCAACATAAGAATAAAGCAGCTGGTGAGCAAAATAATATCAGTTCCCCATCCAGTATGGGTTTTGTTTCCACTCTTCACATATCCAAGTGTTTGTGTCTGTATTTTTCTCCAGTTTATATGAGAGAATGGCAGAGCACTGGTCTTTGCCATTTCTCAGTGTCAACAATGCCTTCCCTCATTTCTCTCCCTTATGTATTATCATACTTTGCAATTCCTTCCCTACACATTTTCCCCTGTTCCACTCCCCTCCTTGGTAGATTCTGCTCACCAGAAATGAAAAATTAGTCTTCTAGGGCTGTCCACAATCCTTTTGAGTTGCTGGAGCTGTGACCTCTGATGCTGCTGCCTCATGCTAGAATTGTTCAACCAACACTTGTGAAGAGATAGGTCTGCACAGATGTGCAGCACATGGTGGTGCAGATTTTGCTTCCTGGCTGCTGCAACAAACAAACTGCTTCTTACCAGCTAAGAAAGGAAAAGGCCATGTTGTCCCAAAATGTGTTGCCTGACATAGTCAGGAAGGAGGTTAAGGTTTAAGTGGTATTCCCTCTGTATTCCCCTTGTGCATTCAGTGAGCTCCTGGCCTACTTCTCTCTGGAGATTCCTTTCTTATGGTTACACAATTCAAATTTTACAAGTCAGAGTAGCTCTTAGTGAAGAAAAAAAAGCCATGCAGCCTGACTGACTGGGTCCCTACCCTTTAAAATTGGAGGTTTTGTCAGAACATCAAATAACTGTCATGGAATTTCCACTAATATTTTTCAATGTCAAACCTTTCCAAATCACACTTGATAAAGTAAAGATGTATTAATCAGCCAGTATGGGGTTTCCATAATGTTCTCTCTTTATGCAAAAAGAACATTAATACAGGCATGTAAACTTGTAATATTCCCTTGTCATTAGACTCTTTTGTACAACCATATTCGTCCTATGAATAAATTCCAAATATATTAAAGCTAATTTGAAAGTATTGTGAGCAACACTTCAAATTCCATGGATTTTTTCTGTGTTTTCTACATTTGTGATGATAAATGTCATACTAATGGGGGGTTCTGGACTGAGTTTGTATTGAAATAATGAAAGAAAAGAAACATATTTCAGTAGGAGTGTTTCAGTAAATGAAGTAGGAAACTGAGCAAAAACAATCAAAACATGCATTGTCTGGAAACATTCTATTTCTTTTGGACTTAATATGATTGTGTTAAGAGTTTGTTCTAACTTTGCTTTTTGTTTTATTTTAGATTATATTGCTTTGTTCAGCACAAAATGTCATGGCTGTGATTATCCTGTTGAAGCTGGAGATAAATTCATTGAAGCTCTTGGACACACTTGGCATGACACCTGCTTCATTTGTGCTGTAGGTTCTACATCAAATACTGTCTCATTCCTTTATACTCCTAAATTGTGTAGTAACATCACAAAATCTGAAAGCAGTAATAACTAACATGTGCTTAAGGATGTAGAGGGATGAAATTTCATTCTTTACTTCCATTTGAAGAAGGATGGGAGTAATTTTTCTTCTCCTCCATAACTTTTACTAGAATTATGGAATTTGACCATCATAAGTGAGTGTTTTCTAATAAAACATCCAGTTTTAGATAGTACATACAGCAGTACAAACCACTATTGCTGTTATTCTTTCCAGTGTTTGCCAAATAAGATAGAGCAAGACTGAAAATAAATTAACACCATACTGAACAGTATAACCATAATCTTACTTACAAAGCAGTGAAGTTTGTATTTCCACGCTGAATGCTTGTTGAAACTTGCAAAAAGAGGTCTGTTTAGTGAGCATGAATAGTAATTAGCATAGAAGTTGGTCAAACTCATCAATCTGTGGTGTGCACATAGCTCTGGAGAGTGGCCATATTCCCACACTCTGCACACAAAGCAGAAAAATCCGTATGATAAACAGTACTTTCATCTGGTTCTAATACCACTGAGCAGCTCTGCAACATATTATTCCTAAAGTAATAATATCTAGAATCTCTAATTAGCTAAAAATAGTATGTTGGCCACACCAAACTGACAGTGACAATTTCTAATGTTTGTTTAAGTCTAAAATTTAGGTAGAATAGTTGAAAGTATAGAAATGTTTATAAATATCTGAAGATAAACTAGCTTTGCAAAAAAGTGTTTTGTGGAAACTGAAGTCTTTTGGAAATTCTAACATAGAAAGGAACACTAAGCAAGTTTCCTTCACAAGCTAACAGCTCTTAATTACTTATAAACATTGATTACTCATAAAGACACTTTCTCTGAATATTTCATGTTATTTTTTGCTTGTTCATTTGCCTTAGCTGCAGCATTTTCTGTGGAAATGATAGTTTTATTATTTAGTGTTGTCAACATGCAATTCTCACAGTGGGGGTCTTTTTAAGGGCCTAACTTGATTTCTTTCAGTGGGTTAAATCAACAGCAAATCAATACATGGCTTCTAAAGACTACCAAAGAAATGCATGGGCAGAAGAGCAATGCAGTTGAAACTGATAGTCACATCTTTCTCCCTTTTCTTTTTCCTTAATTGTTCCTGATTGCATTTATTTTTAATTCCAGGTATGCCATGTGAATTTGGAAGGTCAGCCATTCTACTCCAAGAAGGACAAGCCACTGTGCAAGAAGCATGCCCACGCTATCAATGTTTAAAAGAAGAGTTGGTAGTCAGTAATGCTGGGGTAAAACAGATGACTAACTGGGCAATCATAAAGTTGATAACCATGGCTAGCACTTCTCTCGGTAAAAGCTAGACGTTGGTACTTCTCAAGTTTAACTTTATCCTCTTTCATAAATGCAGAACATGCTTTTTGTGAAGTTCATACAAAAACCTATTGAATGAGCAGTCAAAACCAAATGAACTCATGAACTAGTCCATTATTATAGCAACAGTTGGGGGAAATATTGAAATTAACTAAAAACCTTATTATAAACAGTAATGTGAAAATGTAGTTTCAAGTTAACTACCCACAGCAGTTTTACTGCTTAGACCACACACTGGTGTTTAAAAACAACTGGAAAAATACTTCTATATTAAGTCATTTTCTTTCACAGCAAGAATGAGTAAGTGCCATATGTACAGTCATCTGTAGAACCAAAGGCTGTAGCTTTCAAAGGGAAATAAATAGATTAGGGCTTCCTCTAGGAAAAGTGAGTGCTGTTCCATTATCTTGTGGTGCTACATCATAGCGTCAGATATTTTAGATTCTTTCCAAATAACAAGTCTGCCTTGAATCCATATGTAGCGGGGAAGCCTAGGTGGCAATCCATAACAGTTTGAAAATAAAATGGTTGGGTCAGCCTTGCTAGTGCACTTGGCTTCTATGTGCACAGTAGGTAATTCACTTTCAAGTCATAATGGAAAAGGACAACTGGCTTTCTCCAAATTGCTCTTACATTGAATGGAATAGAGCTGACTAGAAAGGCCAGCTTTTAATTCAAAACCAGTTTTCCTTTCCTCCTGTGAAAAAAAAAAAAAAAAAAAAAAGATTAAATCTTGCTTTGGTTTCTAATTCCCACTGATATCAGAGGGAGGTAGGAACCTACGTCTGGAACTTCACACTAGTGAACACAGAAGAAACACATCCATCTAGCACAGCTAGGTTGTGGGAGATAGTTTGCAAAAATTCCCTCCTCTATGCCACATAATTAGGAAAAAGTCTTTTTTTTTTTCTTATAGTAAATGAATGTGTATCAAAATCTGTAAGGTAGCAGGCACATACTCTTTATTCCTTTCCTTACTTCAAATGCAGCACATCATGAATTGTAGCAGTAATTGCCATTGGAAAACAGTAGCTATGTTCCAACAATTAGGATAACCATACAATCATCTTTTCTAATAACCACATAGACATCTATCCTAATAGCTTGAGAACAACTTTCAAGTTGTTCAGACAGTTATTTATAAAACTCTTTTTTTCAAATAAGTAATGCTTGTACTACTGATAATACTTTTGAATTTTTGAATATCAGTGACTTTTATATGGCAGACAGCAGTTCTGTCTGATGGGGTTAAGATGGAAAGTCTGATCACCATTCAACCTTTATTAACTCATTTAAGTGAGAATTATGATGTGTGTGTTGACAGCTTGCAGTACTGACAGTTTTGAATTAGTACTTCTGAGGCTGAGGATGCTTTCTGTGGGCCACATGCTGGTGCCATCTGCACCTATTTTACCTTGTGTTCTGAGTAGCAAAAAATTACATTGTCTGTCCTGTCCCTCCCGTGAGTGATGCCCATTTCATTTGTTATGTCTTTTAAGGGATTAAAAACTATCCAAAGCTTGGGGGAGGAATAAATGAAATTTGGAGTTCAAAAATAAGAGTTAAGTTAGCTGCAGGCAGTCTGCATCTTGGACAAAAATAACAACCTGAACTGCCTGTGGCAGTTTTGACATGTATGACCTGTATTTATTCAGTAGGTATCTTAGTTTTCACTGATCTTAGCAGTGATCTGATCTGAGTTGGGGGTCAGATTTTTGTATGCATGAATTATTCTAAAACACTAGTGCATTATATGCAAAGCCTTTTTTTGTTTGTTTGTTTGTTTGTTTTGGATTTTTTTTCTGTAAGCAAGCAAATTTTCTGTTTTCAGTCGGTGCTGGGCTGGTGTGAATATGGTCCCATAGATTACAAAATCCAAAGATTTGGCTCATAATATTCTCCAGAGGAATAAATCATAATTATGGAAGTTAAATATTTTTCCACTTCTATTTTACTTCATTAAATACATATTCACAACAGTGAGAAAATTCTACATTTCCTTTTCATTTCTCAGTGCCATTCAACAAAATGCTGTTTATTATTATCTGTTCTTTGAGAGAATTCACATCAGCATACTCTATACTGAGACTGCATTGAAGATATTCTTTAGGCAGATTTGTGTCAGTGTTGGCCACTGACTGGGACTAATCTCTGACTGCAACATCAGAATAGGGAGTCAGGCTCCATGGGAAGGGCTTGTGATGGATGCCTCAGGAGAATTTCACGAGGTCTTTCCCCTCTGATCTGCATGTGTTTATACGTGTGCCTCATTCTCCCCTCCACCTTCTCCCTCCATGTCCCTATAAGCTTCCTCTTCACTGGCACCATGGAGGATACATCATTTTAGGATCTGGCCAGAGATGCTGGGCTGCAGTTAGGGAGTGCAGTCAGTGAAAAGCTGCTGGCAGGCAGAGGGCCCTGGGTGGGCCAGCCTGGAGGTACCGGCTGGGAGGGCTGCGGGAAACTGGGCTGCCAGTGCGGGCAGGGGAGCGGAGCCTGGGACCGCACAGGGAGCACCTGAGGCTGCCGGAATGCAGGGGCTCTGCAGGCCTCTGGTTGAGTGGGAAAGATGGGGCATGAGGAGATGGGGAGCCCTTCCCGAGGCTGGGGCTGGAGCAGGGAATAGCCAGGTAGGGGCAGTTCCACCACGCTGGCATGTCAGAGAGTTGGGTGGGGCAGGGGAGGCTGGGTAGGGGGCAGCCAGGATCACTACAGTCAGGGAGAGGGCTTCAAGTGAGAAATTAGGGTACAAGTAGCTCACCATAGCCCAGTAGCTCATCCATAGGTTTGGATACGTACAGAGGGGTGAGCAAGGATCCAATCTGGTACATCTGAAGTCTGGGCTGCAGGAAAGGGAATGCAGTGTATGTGAGCAGAGCTGAGCTGGCTTGAAGGGTGGCAGCAGTGAAAGTGCAGCAGCACAGACTTCAGTGCGAGCTGGACTGGCTTGAGAAAGTCCTGAAAAGTTCCTTGGGCAGAGAACCTGCACTGTAGCACATGCCCTGGCTCCAGCTGGTGTCTGAGCAAGAGAGATTAAAGCTAGTTTACATATCACTCTATGAGGTACAGCGATATCTCTGAATGAAGAACAGAGATACCCTGAGGATTATCATGTAATAAAAATTTCCTGTTATGACTTGTGCTGCTTCATAATGTGGTCCAAAAACAGGGAATCCACGTACCTGCCCTTGATATCTATATTAAGATATAATTTTTGCACATATCTGAACCAGAAATTTGTGAATAATAATGTAGCATTTTAATTTTCACAGGGGTAGAATACCACATAATTGCTGATACTCTTCTGCTATGTCACCTTTGTGATATGGAGAGGGTAAAATGCTTATATATACAATAATATATATCTCTAAAATTCAAATTATGACCTTTTAACTATCATGGAAAATAATGTTGTACAAAAATATGCAAGATTATAATGTGTACTTGATTATGTTTTATGTCTTGTAAGAGATGCCTGAGATAAGTCCTAAGTTCTTCTGAATATTTCTTTTCATTCTAATTAATGTGAGGTTTTACCCAATAAAACAAAGGTACTGTACCTCTGAATGACCAATTTAAAGGATCAGTCTTTTGCCTAACTAAAAAGTGTTCAATAACTTTTCAGTCAAAGGATTCAAAAGCTGTTTTTAATGCTTTTCTCTCTTTTGATGTTCTTTTTGCAGAATAGGGCAAATTAAATGTTTCCAAATAAGGCTACTTTTATTATCTGGACAAAAAATAAAAAACAGTTTTAGGACCTTTTTGTCATTAGTTTTCACTATATTGGATTCACACATTATACAGTTCTCAATTCTAAAATCAATTCAAGACAAGGAAAAATATTTTTCCATTGGTCCTTCAGTGGTCAGTACTTTGGGTAAAATGTTTTGGTGAAGATTGTTTGTATTTATGTTTAATAATGTGAATGTCCACAGCACTGAACACATTCATTAGTGTCTAATGCTGGGCACACTAATGTTTTTTTGCAATACTCATCTCCTGGTAGTGGATATTACTTTGTTTAGTATTTATAAACATCAGAATTTGAAACTGAGTGATTTATTGCCTGCAGTGATCATATATTAGAAGTCTAGGTTTTATAATATTTTGACATGTTGACTTGATGCCACAAGTGCCCTTGCTTTTAGATAGATATTTTTTCCTGAGTTCCTAGTTATTTCACTACAGAATGTCTGGTGGTTTATGAGATGTGAGTAATTACTTTGCATGGATTATCTGTGCCAACATGAATAAAACAGTCTAGTAATAAAAGCAATGTGTAAAAACAGTTAAAGCTTTATGATTTGGGTATATTTATGAATATGCCATGTGAACAGCTGACAGCTTTCAGCCATGTAATATCAGTAAGAAAGCGTACACAAGCTTGTACTCACTACTGCAGACCTGAAAATAAAAATTAAAACCATTGGTTTCAACTTTATTTTATATCAGTCTTGAATATTGTATTGATCAAATAATGCTGTTTTAAACAAATATTAGTATGCTTAAAAGATGCAGCCTGCTAACAGTACATGTTGTAACTCAGCAAGACCTGTGTAGTCCCAGACCTTATTGTGTCAACAAATACTGTTTATAGTAACACTGCAAGGAGTGGGTAAATTCTCTCTTCAGTTACATTGATGTATCTGCAAACAAAGTTTGACTGCCTAAGTTCAGGTAGGAGTTCTACTGTTTCTTAGCAAAAGTTACTTAAAATACAAAGTGTTTTGAACACCCTCATTGAGCTCTAGTGCCGAGAAATATGTACAAATGAAAGGATGACTTCATATAACAATGTGTTTTCTAAAAACAGCCATTTTGTGCATTCCTGTTGCACACCCCTCAGAAATGCAGGCATTTTAGAGGTACAACTAATTATATTAAACATAAGTTAGATGATAAATGAACAGACTTGGATTTAGATGTCATTACCAAGTATAGCATCAGGAATCAGAACTTTGTGCATTTTTTATTTTATTTCCCAGCCCCAATTTCTGTTTACAATGTGCATAAGAAATGCAATTGAAAAGAATGCCCAGAATGTATTTTGTCAGATCAAAATTGCTGTTTTTCAGATTGTCTGTTGTGACCTTCAACCTTTGCACAAGACAGTGCTTCCTAAACTGTGCCCTGTGATCCCTGGAGAGTTCAGTTGTTGGAACTGGAAGCAATAGAGGCATAAGCAGAGCACCATGCCAGCTGACAGGGTGGAAAAGGGGAATAGAGCAAAGTTCATTAGGAAAGGACATGGTGCAAAATGTGTGACAAATGTTGCGTTAAGGGATTGTTAACAAAGATTCTTAAAGAGAGATTATTGCTCTGAAGAAAATGGAGATTTCAAAAGTATAGGCTTTGGCATTGTTTGCCCCTCCCACCCCAACCATGCATCTTGAATCCAAACAGTTTCTGTTGATTAAGAAAGGAAGGAATGTGTGAATAAGATTGCTGAAACCATTATTGAATACACAATGAAATGCTTTGTTCTCCCAGGCAAATCAGAGTTATGATGAGATTCAGACTATATTCAGGCATGAATTCTGTGCTGTGAGCCTATGAAATATGCCCTTGGAGAGCTGTTAAAATACATTTGTTCCTCCTCTTAGGAAGATTACATCAAAAGAAAACAGTAACAAACGTGTGTTGTACTAATAAGGACTGTCAGGCTGAGTCACAAGAATTTTCTCTGTAATAAAGACAAGAAGGAATTTTTTTAAACAAAGCTAAGCTTTTGAACAAAACATTTTTCCTTTAAAAGTTTCCAGATTAAAACTGTTAGGGAATAATAAATTAGTATGCATAAAATATCATTAATAAATCTGTCTCTACTACAAAAGTATTTTCTAATCTTACTACTTTAGAAATTGGATTATTTTCATTTATGACAAAGATGTTGCAGAAATTCTTCTGCTTCTGCTTAGTTTTACTGTGCATAGTTTTACTGAAAGAGTTGGGACTTATTTTTCTTTTAATTAGAAGATACAGATAAAAATACAACCTTGACTTGAGTGAAGGTGATGATTCTTCCAGTGCTTGTGGAATGAATGCTGCTTGCTACACTAAAGCCAGAAAACTTGCTGTTCTAGATTGTTTTATTCTCATGGTGTATTAAAGAGGGTGTTTCGGATTTTTAGGAGGTTTAATAAATATCTATAGCCTGAATTAAAGATCTCATTTCAAAACAAAAGAATGATTTACAGTGTTTAAATTATTTTAAGATCTAATCATATGTAGACAGGAAAATAATGCTGGGATTGAGCTTTAGTTTCATTTAAAGAAATCTTCATGTTCACTAATGCAAGCATTCCTATATGCATGTATGGGACATATATGTGGATTAAAACACTCAGAACTGAGATTCTGATTTCTTTAAGTGGATGTGTATCATATCTGCACTATTTGAGCATAAATTGTTGTCATCTAGTCCATTTACTATATATAGCTTAAGAATAATGCACAAATCTGAGTGCACCTTGAGACCTGGGTTTTGTTATCTGTTAGGTATTTTTGCTTTATGAAGTAACAACTCCACAATTTTGATAGCATAGGAGATGTGGGAGCAGAAAACAGGGCACACTTTCCAAAAATCTGGCTTCGTATAAAAAATAGGATTTCAGGAATAAAATTTTTATTTGTCCATTATAAACAAAGACCAGGTATTATTCTTTCAGAAAGAAAATATTCTTCAGCTGTCCCCTGCACATTCCTTGATAGATTTTCTTCCTGCAATTTTTTCCCTGTACTGATTCGAAGGATATTGTCAATTTCCCTGTGATGAATGCACATGCAGAAGCCTGCCCAGTGCTCCTGTTCCTTTCACAGGCCTGTAAGCTGAGGGGTAAAAGGTGACAGAGTGGGCTCTGCTGCTCATGTGAGTGCATTCAGCCCGCTGCATCCTGCATATACCAGACTTCCTGAGATTTATTGGGGATGCACAACATAGATGACACTAATTGAAAGTTTCTGCTTTATTGCATGTACACTACACGGCATCTACTTCTGGCCAAAAAGTCCTTGCAAGAAATCCAAAGTGCTAGCCAGGGATTCTGGTTCTAGCTGTGGCCTCAGACAGAGCACACCTGAATCTGAACTGTGTGGTTATAAAATAATGGCAGAGCACAGTTTGCCTTTGAGATTGTATTCCCAGTGCCAGCTGCTGCAGCAAAAGGACAACAGGGCTGTTTTGTGGATGGTGATTTTCTGCCATTTTTATGATGTAAAGCAGTTTCTGGAATGGGAGCTCTTCTGAGCTGCTATTCTCCTGTTACTGCATCATGACACCAGTCTGAATTCAAACTTGAAAAGGTTTCAGCTCATTTGGCAAAATTTACTTATTCTCACATTGAAGGACTCCGTGTTTTCCACATGTAACTTATTCAGCTTTGTGCTAGACATCCTAAAATGGACTGGAAACAGTCTGGTGGTGAAAGGTGTCAGACTGTCAGACTTCTAGGACAGGAGACACATCCTGAGAAATTAAATTCTCAGAGACAAATACAGAACACATTATCCACCTTTTATAGACTTACATGCTGGTGGTTGTTGGAGACTTCATTGACTTCCTAAGGAGTCACAGAAGCTGCTCTCTGTTTAGAAGTTCTCTAAAAAGAAAGAGTCAGTGTTATTAAAAAGTAGATATTAAAGTTTGGGGTAGTGTATGTATTTCCTTAGGGCCCATATTTGCCTATTTAGTACAACCTCAAACAGTTCTTGCTCCTATGCAATTCTCAAAAAAAAAAAAAAAAAAAAACCACACATAACAGAGGGTTGTTACTACTCCTCCCTAACTCTGGGTAACAATCCTCATTCTCCTCCAGCTTCGGAATATTCACTGGCACAAAAAGGTATAAATTACATCTCTGTGTGCCAGCTTCAGAGAACCTGGCCACAAATACTTCAGTTGAGATGATTTTGTTCATTTCTTTAAAGGACAGTGAGAAAGATTGTGCTTTCTCTGATCTTGTAACTTAAAAAATATTAACAGAACAATCTTTAAGTCAAAATATTTATTTTAGACCTTCATTATTAAGTGAAACTAATTAAAAGTGAACAATTACTATCAAAGATGCAAAAGTAGTAAAATGAGATAAAAATGTAGGAGAGCGAAAATCCAAAGAAAAAGTAGCTTTTAGCATAACAATTAACCAGCCAATGTACCCTTCCTTTTTTCATGCAGGGTAATTCATTGAGAGTGAATTAATGGTGAAGCATTCAGTAATAGGCCGTGGTAAGGAAATAGGAGCAGTGTATCAGGATATCCTCTTTCCGCCCCAGAGTACCAATACTTTCAATTTTATATACAACGGAAGTAATTAATTGTAACACAAAGAAGCACAGCTGTGTTTCCTGATGGTCACACATGCAATAGCTGCTATTGTTTAGCATTCTGAGTATGTACAATGGAAACTGCTCGACTGCTTGGAATGTTTTATATTCTCAGGGATTTAATTTCCATTAGTAGCTTTTGAATCCATGGTGGATTTTTAATATGCTATTATCTTAGATCCAATCCTGCATCCCTAATCAGGTAATTTTTTGCTGATGCCAGTGAGAGTTTGAACTGTATTAGGTGTGGCTTCCAAATGAGATTTGCAGACACAGGCCAATTTCTCATTGGAAGCAAAGGGAGTTATAGACTGTTTTTTGGCATTTTCTTTTAGCTGTATGAGTTTAACTTGTTCAAGTTCTAGTTAATATTCAAGTACCTTACAGACTAAGAGAGAAAAGCTTAACTGATATGCCTTTAACTTCATTATATATTTTCAGACATTCTGGCTGAAATACAAGGATATCCTTTTATTATTTTGTAGTCCCATATTGATTTTAGTACAATATGAAAAAAGAAGTGAATGAGACTATTTTGCTGCACTTGCTCTTATTTAACAGCAATTTATTCATGTTTAAAGATATGTTTAGACTGAGGAAAAATCAGGAAGTGATGAAATTATTTCATTCATTTCTTTTGTATAGGAGCAGATCTGTTTCATTTTAAGAGGTTTGGAAGAACAGAGCATTTTCAGTCTCATAAATGTCCATCTTTGTAAATCTCTACAGTACCCGCTCCTACAGCTGCCAGAAACACATCCACTTGAATCCATGCCTCCTGAGCAAAAAGCTGTTACACACAGCAAGACAGAAAGTTTCTGTATTGATAAGAATTTGCCTTGTGTAACTGCAGGTTTTAAAAACATTTCCGCTTTCAGCAGTGCTCCAGTTTCAGGACAAAGCCTGAGCATCAGACTTAACAGAGGAACTGTTAATGCAGTGTGGGTTTGGATCTAAGGATTATTCCGACTTGTAAAAGAAACAAATACCTCTTGTAACAAAAGGTGGAGGAACACAAACATTTAGCTTCTCTCTGAGTATAATTCAAACTTCCTTGTAGATCATTTGGCACCACTGACTGATAATTCAGAACATAAATTTTAAAACCAGCACTACAATCAAAACACTTAATCTTCTCTGAGCATCTGAAGACTTTGGGGATTTTATGTGCATGTATCTAGGCGAAAACATATTATTAATTCTCTGAACAACCTGATGTGAGTGAGGCACTCTGGTGAAGCCTCTGCTGAGCCTACAAATATTTTCTTTTTCTGTGATAAGACTTTTAATGCTCTGGCTTTAAGAAAAACAAAGTAATTTGTATTTAAAAGGAGAGTTATCTCAGGGTTTATTATGACCTGGTGAGAAGACTGCAACAAGGGTTTTGTAAATGTGAATCCATAAAAACAAAATCCTACAGCTCGACTAGGCACAGGAAGAAGAAACAGAAAAAGCAGCGGGAAGTCTGGTTCTTAACTGGGAAGATGTCTCCCAGAGCAAAGTGTTCCCATTACTGCAGCCCTTTGCCACAGCAGGGGCATCAGTTCCCACAGCACAGAACAGCCAGGAATCAGCTCCCACTCTGCAGCTGCTGGGGACAGGTACAGCCATTGTGTCCTCCTCCTGCCACGGCCACCTGCACAAGGCTGAGGAAGAATAAGTAACCCCAAAGTAACCCCAAAACACACCAAGTGCTTGAGCTGTGGGAACACTCCTGTTTCCTCGTGCCCATGCTCTGCACACTGAGCTGTTACTCCTTGGATTATTGCCACAGTGCTCTCCAATGCTGCCCCGGACTCTGTTCCACACCAGACTGGTTGGACTCAAGGTTGGACATAGCTTCCTCTTTGCTACCAGTGATCCACCAGCAAAAACTTTTTAAAAACACATTTCTTCAAAGATTTGACTCTGCCTTACTGAATTATTTTTTGCTTACATTTAAAAAGCGTAATAAAATCCATGACTTTTGTAAGTAACAAACAGCTGTATAAATTTATAATCAAAAGAATATGCTTTTAAGTAAAATAGTTCTGAAAAAGAGACAAAGCCAAATTCATGTCATATTAAGTGAAATAATTGTGTCCCTGGCTGAAGGGCAATATTCTTTTAATATGTAACATGGAATATTTATTTTTGTAGCAGTAACAGAGAAATACTCATCTAATTGCAAACAGTTCTCAAAAATATATTTGGACCACAGATTTAAGACATCTGAATTCCAGAGACTGAAGGGAAGAAGGATCTACAAAGATCAAGTCCTATCACATGGCTGACCTTCTCCCTATATATACCCCTTTGTTCCTTTGATATTCAAGTTTGCAGTTCCCTAGTGATTCCAAGAACTAATAAGAAATTCCTGGGGAGGAAATAACAATGAAAGCAGCTGGAAGACAATCCTTTTTTTTTTTTTTAAATACAGCTCTCTTCATCACACAGTCAGTTTTGAACTGCTTCTTTTATATCACATGTTAGACTTCCATATCTCGGCCAAATGTCAAATAAACTTGTTTATTTTCCGGTTTTCAGACTTCAGTGTTTTTTGAGTGTGGCTCAATTGACAAAATAAATATTCAGTGTTACTAAACCTGGTGTGTCTGAGTTTTTGCAGATTCCTAAAATCCTAACCAGGTAAGATTGCTGCTGCTCACTCGCTCGCTGGAGCCCTGTGTCTTTCTGAGAGCCCACCATCTAAAGTGTTCACTTTCTGGTTTAAAAAGCTCTCTCTACCTATCCTGGTAGAGATATCTGAAACCTAAGTACTGCACTTTTGTGCAGTAAGTATGTTTTGAAAGACATCAGTATTTTCTGTGTGCTGTTTAATCAGATATCCATCACACTCTAAATACTTTCTAAGGTCACTAGGATTCATCATTTTAAATTAAGATGCAGTTTGGTCTCCTGCAGTCCTCATATTATTATAATATAGTTTATTTTTGTTGACTTTATTTTGTGATTAGGACAAGGAGTTAATGGCACTCAATTATGTAGAGATGGGCATTATGTGCCATGGCAGTACAAACTTCATCCTCAGCAACACTGTTCCTGACCTGACAGGGACCTGTGGGTATCTTCAGTGCCCAAGTGCCTTGAAAAGTACTGGCTGAGACAGCAACTTCTTCAATGTGCAAATTTACACATCAGGAACTGGATGAGAAGAGTTGATCCATTTCACAAAAAGGGTTAAATCCATTTCAAGGCTAGTGGCTGTTGCTAAATTCATGCATCCTGGATTGGAATCAGTATCTAACATCTGACACGCACTGGACTGTATTAGCACACATGATCACTGAAGAGATGCTGGCACTAACAGCTCTGGTTCTGCTTGGGAGCACACACATGCATGTTGCATTCTTCTTCCATATTGAGTGTCTGTTCTGCTGCTATAATTTCATAGTACACAGAGTGGAAGAACAGCAGACTCATATTTTCCTTTGAAATTATAAACATAAGCATAGGAGTTCTGTATTGCTTGGCATGGAAGCTGTGATTTTGTCTTTCTTGCAGCCTGGCTTTGTTTTGGACACTGACAGATTTTTCTGGATGATGGTGATCGGAAAAAATTTTCTAAAAGTCTAGTAAGACAAGACCCTGCATTTTCAAATGCCTATCACCACAGTATCTGGCCACATACAATTATTAGGTGTGCCTTTACCTGCCTACTTTTTAAAGGAGTCTGTGAAGGTGATAGGTTTGAAGTTTTACTTCCTCTTTTGTATTGCTGTGTAGGACAATACAGAAGTGAAGCACTCATCTAACCATCTGTAGGTAAAACGCATGTGAGCTAGAATGCAAAGCCAGTGCTCTCATCTTACATTCAGAGGTGACTGCTCTGCAGTGGAGTACACAACATTTACGAGTCCTATCTGATATTAGCATGCAAAAATGGAGATACACTGTGGAGAGGTCAACAAAACAAGCAAGGCCATGTTTCCCACAATATATGCACATGTGGCTATTTGGCATCAATAAGCCAGATTGCTTCCCAACTGGTTATTCTCTGCAAACACTTTATCTGGGCAGTCATCTCCACACCAGCAATTACTGGTGTGTCCTGAAGGCCTAAAGAGTGTTTTGGTGTGCACCAAAGGGAAACTGAGTAGGTCTGTACGATGCATGTGATCTTCATTTCCCCTGTAGCTGGCTTTGTGCGCAAAGTTCTTGATGCAGAGTAACCAATTGGCAGGATAGATGAAAGGCAAGAGGACATCAGCAGCACGACTGCGGTCACACTGTCGAGTGAAGGGTTAAAAACAGCAGCCCAGGTGGGAGCTGTGCCGGGCACATAACACTGTCCCTGGAGCTCCTGCACTGCTGCTGGGAGACCTCCGTTGAAGACAGACAGACAAATTATTACTTTTCCAATTTGTCCTAATGATAAGGTGCTTTGAAACACAATGCAAATCATGGCCTTCAGCATCCTTATCAGCAAGCAGAGCAGCTCATTGCAGAAGTTATAATGTATTCCAATCTAACTAACTGGGCATATTTATTTAGATACAGGAAATGGGAAAAGCAAACAATGCTGTCCTTTGCAATGGAACTCTATCCCTCCTGCAGCGCTGCAACGTCAGCCTTCTCAGAACTATTCTTCCACGAAGCCGAAAGGCCCATGCGAGTCCCTCATTTTCCCCTCCGCCGCTGCCGTCCCAGCTGACTCGCAGCCCCGCCGAGCTCCCACCGAAGGTGCCACGGTGGCCCTGCACCCCGCGTCCCCGTGAGCCCCGGCATCGGCCGCTCTCCGCGGCACCGACCCCTCCAGCACCTGCACGGAGCCTCCCGGCCCTGCAGCCAGACCCCGCCGCAGCTGCTTTTCTCGTGTCTCGACCCTCTTCAAGGCCAGCAGTGCTTCCATGACACCGGCTGGGCAACTTTTCCCCTCACGCCTTCCCGCCCTTTCCTAGAGGAGATTCTTCACGGGGAAAGCGCTGCTGGGCCGGCGGGGCAGGATAACCGGGGCCGGGGCGCCCAGATACAAGCCGGCCCAGGCTGCGGCCCGCGCTCCCGCCCGCGGAGGGGCTCCTGGGGAGGAAAAGCAGGCCCAGCTGGTTCCTCCCGGCCAACTTTTCTTCCCGGGGAGCCCCGCCAGCCCTCCCGCCCACGGCACGTGCTGATGGACGGGCGGGGGCGGCGGGCGCGCTCCCGCCTCCCCGCGGGCCCCCGCCGCGCGCGCGCCCGGCTGCAGTGATTGGAATCCGGCTCGTTCCCGCCCCGCCCCGCAGGGACGCGCCGGGAGCGCCTGCCGGGACACGGAGCCTGCGCCGAGCCCGCTCCGCGCCGTCCCGCCCTCCCCCGCCCGACACGCACCCGCCTTCGCCCCCGTCTCAGCGGAGCCGTCGGGGCCCCGGGAACGGCCCGCGGAGCGCGGCGGGGAGCGGGCCCCCTCCCCCTTCGCCTGCCGTCCCCGCGCGGAGGATGAGGAGCCCCCACCGCCGGTGAGTGAGGGCCGCGCCGCGGAGGCCTCGGCCGGGCGGGGAGAGCCGGGGCGCCCGGGCAGCGCCGCGCCTGCACCGCTCCCTCTGCGGCCGGGGGGACGCGGGGCGCTCCCTCCGCGGTCATGTCCCTTCTCCGCCGTCGGGCGGCCCGGCCTGGGCGGTGCCCGGCGGGGTCTGCGCCGGCCCCGGGCAGCGCCGTCGAAGGTGGACTCCGCCGCGGTCGGCGGCGGCCCTCCCGCCCCGGCCTGGCTGCTCGGGG